CAACCCAAATTCGCACCTGGGATGTAACAACTGCACAACAGGTACATTTTTTACAATAAAACACTTTATTAAAAAAGTATACCTACACTAAACGTGGACAACCAAGGCAGTTTTTTAAAGCTTAATCCTCATAGAATTGATATTAAAAAAATTACTTTGTTAAGTATAAAGATCTATTAATTATTTAAAAAATATCAAGCAGAGAAATATTTACTTTTAGCCTCTAAAACCCAAAAATAAATAAAAAATTAATTAAATTAAATTAAAAATACCACAAAAAAACGAGACGCATGCTTATTCCGGAAATCTTTTTTGACCAAATAGTTATTTGATATAAAACTACTTAACTTAAAATTCACATAATATGCACATATTTGACATAAATTTGATTGCACACAAAAACCATTTAACATAAATATCATTTGTCATAGAATTCATTAAACAGAAATATTATGTTACATAAAACTCAGATAACTTAATTCCCATTTGACATAAAAATGATGTAACATAAATTTCTATTGATATAAAAATCATTTAACATAAATTTCTTTTGACATAAAATTCATTTAACGTAAATTTTATTTGTTATAAAATTCATTTGACATCAATTTCATTTGGCATAAATGTCATTTGACTCATTATAATTCATTGTAATTCTCATTTGACATAAATATCATTAGACATAAAATTAGCTTGACATAAATTTCATTTGACGTGAATATCATTTAACATAATTATTATTTAACGTAAAATTAAATTTATATAAATTTCATTTAGCATAAATTCCCTTTAACATAATTCTCATTTGGCATAAAATTTACTTGACATAAATTTCATTTGGTATAAAGCCCATTTAACATAATTTTCATTTGACATAAAGTTCATTTGACATAAAAGACATTTAACACAATTCTCATTTGTCATAAAAGGCATTCAACAAAATTCTCATTTGACATAAAAATAATTTTACACAAATTACATTTTACATAACAATATCGGCGCGAATTTCAAAAGTAACCAATTAGATATTATCAACAACATTGTGATTCGACAATTTTGAAATTCGCGCCTATATTTCCATGTCAAATGATCTTTATGTAAAATAAAATCTACGACAACTGAATTTTATGTTAAATGAGAATTATGTGTAATGAGTTATCCGTCAAATGAAATTTATATCAAGTGAACTTTATGTCAAATGAAAATTATGTTAAATGGGCTTATGAAATTTATATAAATTTAATTTTACGTTAAATAATAATTATGTTAAATGATATTCACGTCAAATGAAATTTATGTCAAGCTAATTTTATGTCAAATGAAATTTATGTCAAGCTAATTTTATGTCTAATGATATTTATGTCAAATGAGAATTACGTTAAATGACATTTATGCCAAGTGAAATTGATGTCAAATGAATTTTATGTCAAAAGAAATTTATGTTAAATGATTTTTATGTCAATAGAAATTTATGTTACATAATTTTTATGTCAAATGGGAATTAAGTTATCTGAGTTCTATGTAACATAATATTTCTGTTTAATGAATTCTATGACAAATGATATTTATGTTAAATGGTTTTTGTGTGCAATGAAATTTATGTCAAATAATGTGCATATTATGTTAATTTTAAGTTAAGTAGTTTTATATCAAATACCTATTTGGTCAAAAAAGATTTCGGGAATAAGCATGCGTCTCAAAAAAACCATACATTTATTATACGTTTATTTTAATAAATAAAAAATTATTTGCCGAAAGATATATATTACTAAAAATACATAAGGAAACACACAGTGACAGTTGTTTGATTATTTTTTTTTGTAAATTATGGCTTTCGTTCAAAAAATACTTTTGGTGCTGAGAATGATTATTTTACTTAGAAATTTAAAATTTCAATTTTCGCTGAATTTATTTTGACAAATATAAAAGTTTTTTATAATAAGATAAAACACAGAAAATAAAAAATACTTTTAGTGCTGAGAATGATTCGTTTAAAATAGGTAATACCTACAACGGCGGACCATCGCATTTACAAAAGTGTAATAACAAAAGTGAGGTTATGTTACATTCTCTTAAATTCTCGGAGAATTTAATTGCCGGTTATATTCTCTCTGTAATATAACCGACTTAGAACACTATTTATAAGATCTTTATGTTTTAACCCTTAAACCGCACACTTCCGAATCCATCCTTAAACCGCACACTGAGTGTACGACACCCGGGGACTTTAAAGTGTGTTCTCCAAGTTGGAAAAGGATATTATGTTTCAGAAAAATTATCTTATGTAGCTCAGTACATCTATTTTGAAGGAAAATAAGTTTCATAATGATTTATTTAATCTTTATAATTAAAAAAATGTTTTTTAAAACTACTGAAATCACCTTAAACCGAAAACTGGGTATCAGCCACCCAGAAATTTTTCGCTGTTAACTTCATAAAGTTATCAAATACACAAAGACACTTGGGAGACTAATGTCCCTCACAGAACATAAAGTTAAGTACAAAATGAGTAAGAAGCTAGAATATGGGTGTCGCACACCCAGGGTGCGGATTAAGGGTTAGTCACTGGCCCAGTAAAAAAAGCAGTATTAGAAGAGAGCGAATAGTATTGGCGGTGAGTTTCTGCCAATACGTTTTCGCGTGAAAACCGTATTGGGGGCATTCTGCCAATCCTGCTTTTTCACCGTCAATTTTGTCCTCTTGAATCTTTTGATTTCACGTTTATTGACTCGATTTGGCATTTTAATCAAAAAGACTGATTGATTTAAGGGAATTTTCACACACTCTTTTCAAAATTTTCAAAAAATCGATTCTTTTTTTTTTGCTTCAAATGGTCCCTTGGAGTCTCAAATGTAATATATTGAAAGATTATGGACGTAAAAAATTCCTAAATAGCTTATTTTCAAAGTTTCGTGCAGGGCTTTACAGCGCGCGGTGAGCCCTGAACTGCGCGGGGGAGGGATAATTGAAGGGTCTACGCAGGTATACAGCAGATTTTTTCAAAGTTGTTAGTGACTAGAGTGTATTCAAGTAAGATAAGGACCTTAATCAGGAAGGACAATTATATGGTGCAGGCATTGCCGATTAAAGGTATTTAAAAATTATGTATGCTTTTTTACAATTTAAAACTTTAAACGCGATTATCTCAAAACTACATTTTTCGAACTGGCCGCACCAATAATTTTTACAATTTTCAACCGATTAAGTTCAAATTTTGCACACATCTTTAATAATATATTGTCTGAAGGCAAGCGTAAGATTTTATTTTTTTATTGCTTAGATCATTTGTTATTAACAATTTACTGACCAATTTTTTGGCAAATTTTCATAACTAAAATTTAGAAGTACACCAATCGGCCAAAAATCAATATATCCAAAAAATCCTACGCTTTCCTTTAGCTATTGTAATAAGGAATAAGAAACAATTTCGATAATTATGATATTTCAAAATTTACAGGAACGGATGGTGCGGCCGCGGACCCTTCACGCCAAAAACCAGATTAGAAAAATCAGCGTCAGCGCCACAAATTTCAATAAAATTTTATAATATTTAAATTTTTACACTTTAATAAATGATATAATAAAGTCTTTATTATACTTTATATATAAAGATATATAAAGACTTTAATAAAGTCCTCAGATCATAATTGTAATTGCCTTCGTAGTTTGCTTTAAAAAAATTCTCAAAAAACACCAATTTTTTTTACCTCTAGAGTGTCATAACCCCTTAATGTGTAAAAATGCTGATAACGAACAGGAAATATAAAATTTTGTTAAAATGTAAATCAATGAAATTTGACAAAATGTTATTATTAATTACCTTATGATACAGGGTATTTTCTAGATTAGCGCTGTGACTTATACTCACAACGCCCCTAGCGCGAACGTCGAAAGCTCCCTAAATCATGTGGTAATAGATCAACAGTACACACTCAAGTCGAGTCAATAAACGTGAAATCAAAAGATTCAAAAGGACAAAATTGACGGTGAAAAAGCAGGATTGGCAGAATGCCCCCAGTACGGTTTTCACGCGAAAACGTATTGGCAGAAACTCACCGGCAATACTATTCGCTCTCTTCCAATCCTGCCTTTTTTACTGGGGGTTACAAATTTAAATTCAGTTTCTCAAAATCCAAAATGGCAGAACAAAATTTTAAAAAGTGTACGGATATTTTCATAAAATTTGGTACAATTACGTTTTTAGATTCGTTTATTATGAATTTATCCACACAGCACCAAAACTTTCCTGGAAGTTGAATATTGCATGAAAATTTAAATTTTTTAATTTAAAGAATTTTTAAGTTTTTAAATTTTTTTTTAATTTTCTGTAAACTTCCGCTTTTTTGCTAAAAAATGAATTTAAATTTTAAAATAAATTTAAACTTTCAGTTTAAATTCAGTCAACTTTGGTGCCCAACATTGAAAAACAACAGCGGATATTTAAGAAAGAATCAGACAAACAATCGGAACAAAAATTAATCCAATATCATAACTCTGTATTCTAAAAGAAAAAGACACTTCAATTTTTTAATTATTTTGGTGAAAGCGTAAAGAATTTAATTTTTAATATTTTGAACAATTTGAAGTTGCATTCAACAAATATTTCTTACTGACAAAGAATTGACCCTTTTCACCAAAACAAATTTAAAATTCAATTTTTCTTTATTAGTTAAAATACGAAATTATGACATTGGACTAACTTTTTGTTTTGTCTGTCCGTCAGATTCTTCCTTAAAGTCATTTTAAGTTTCATGAGCTTCTGAACTAAAGATTCAGAAGGTTGCAGTCAAGAGGAGGAAGAATATTTTTCGACAAAATTATCAAACACAGTTTAAAAATCTAGCAATAAAAAATTATATTTGCAGCAAAAATAAGGGCTCAGTAATTTTTCATTTGTCTGGAAATAAAATTTACTTGCAGACTGAAGTTCTCTACCTAAAATTGATTAAAAAGTACTGAATTCAATAAAAGAAGAAAAAAGTGACTCACGAAATAATTACCTTTATCAGCGAGTAATGTACGTTGAGCAGGATCAAAAACTAAACAATAGAAAAATGAATCGTCCTTATTGAGATAACTCAATAAAGATTCAGTTTCATTTAATAGTGTTACGCAGCATTTGCCTCTTATGTGCGTGGCGGGCATCGTCTCTACTTGCCGGGATAAGAAAAGTTCTCTGTGCTTCATTTGATGTCTCTGTTTCGAACTCAGTTCTGCAACACCTCCTGCTCCAACTACACCTTCTTCCATCCCTAAATTTGAAAAAAAACATAAGCTTAAATAAAAACCAATTTAATCTACATTTTCATATACAATTCAACATCATGCTGAAACAATACATAAAACAAGAAGAATAAATAGGCGAAAAAATGTCCAATGTTGAAGCATATTTGACCTGAAACATGTACGTCTTTATTTTTCAAAAAAATAATTTAATTTTTCTAATTTTCTAAATACAATAAAAATGCAAAAATATATTCATCAATAAATATGTTCTCAGTTTTGCGACAAATATAATTGACAATATAAAATAAAAATGTCCAAAACTAGTAATCACAACATTAAGACATGTTATGGTAAAGTGTTTAAAAAATTACATATTTTAATTGTGTAAGAGAAAAAAGAATAATATAAAAATTGTATTTACACATGAGGCATTTCTTTCCATTTCGAATTTTATCCAAAAATTTATTGTAATTACATAAATTAAATGTAAAAATGGCAAATTTTTTAATGCCGTAAGCCCTTTTTTAAATAATATATTTCAAACGAAATATAGAGAATTAAATGACCAAAAACACTGTCTCCAATTTTATTTTTTGTCAAAAAATAATAAAAAAGTAATGTTAAAAATTCTATAAGGCCTCCAACATTAAATAAGATGAAAACTTTACAAAATTTCATGCTATCTCTTAAAATTCAAAATGTTGGATCCAACATTACGATCAAAATTTAAAAATTTTATATTTTTTTTCAATCTCAACATGCCGCAGTTTTTTGATCGTTGATTACGAAATTCAAATAACATTTTCAAAATTCAAAGTCATTTAAAAAAATTTAAAATGACAGATTTTTACCGCTTCATGTTCATAATCAGCGACTAAAAAAATTGTACACGGAAAAAATAAATTTTGTGAATATTGCAGAATTAGTTCAATAGTCTTGATATCGTTTTACGTAATTGAGTTTCCTACTCTTTACCAAATTTTCTGCATTTAAAGCGCAACTTTTCAAAAATATTTACAAAATATTTTGTATCCTTTAAAAAATACGTTTGTAGAAAATATTTCAGCAATTCTTACAGAACTAATAAGAAAAAAGTTTAGAATTCTTCTGTATAAATTACAAAAAAGTATTGAGGTAAAAGCACCAGTACTTGGACACTTTTAAGATAGAAGCAACGATTTTTAAAAAAATAGTATAGTTTTACTTGCCAAACTTTTTATATTTCGTTTGTATTATGATTAAAGAATTCAAATTAAAAAAATTAGTCTAAATTTTTACTTTAGTTAAATATAAATCTAGAAAATAATTAATTGCTTTTTTACCGTAATAGTTGGACATGCCTTTTTAGAGGGTCCAGTTGGTCCAGTAGTTGGATACGATAAGGACCAATAGTTAGACATTATAAGAAAATACGCATGATATTTATTTACATACAATGTTTGCATTTGTATATTAGTTAATATTGTCAATAAATTTAATAAAATTTATTAGTTAGTCATTTTATGTTAATTAATTCATTATTTAATTAGATTAAAGCCTGTTAAGTTTTTGTCCAACTACTGGTGCTGCTGGTTTTTGAGGTTATGAAGCAGAAGGTAAACTTGGACACTCATTTTGAGTAGTTCGAGACTTATAATTTTTTTTTGATAAATTTTGAGCTTAGAAATTAAAAAATTGAATTATAACGAACAGAGATCCAAAAGCTAATATTAAAAAACGGCATATATTATTTTTTCATTTACATTGAAAGCAGTTTTAATTCTTTTTTTACTGTCTAATGGTTCCATTTTTTGCAATGTCCAGGTACTGTTGCTTTTACCTTAGTATCTTCGCAGAATCCAAATTTCTTAAATATTTTATTACAATTTCTAAAATATACTGTATAAAATACAAATTAAGTTTTACAGTTATTCAAACGTTTACTATCCCAATGGGAAAAAGACCATTGGCGCATTATTGGCCCAATATTGGGAGCCAACAGTTCCATTAGTGGTCCATTATTGGCACCCAATAATGGACCACTAATGGTAAAATCGTGGGATGTCCACGCCGATTGTCAACCATTATTGGTTTATCAATGGCTGCCATTAAAAAACCAATAATAAAAAAATTTTTTTAAAAATAATTTTAAATAAATAATAAAATTATTTTTTCAATAATTATTTATTTTTCAAAAATATTAATAGGGGATAGTTGGGCATAGTTTTGACTTGAGTCAAAATTCCTGAAGTGGACTAGCGTAATTTCAAAATTACTGTATTCAATTACAAACATTTACATGTTAAATGTAGACCTTATTATGAGTTTATTCAACAGTTCAAAGGAATTTTTAAAAAATTAAAATGTCTCTAACTAAGTTATAAACAATTAAAGTTTTTTACAGTGCTTAATTAAAAAATTCATATCTCGTGATAGAATCAATGGATTTTAATAAAAATTGCATTTTTGTGAACCTTAAATATTGCAGTTTTATTTAAAAAAATAAAAAAAAATTATTGTCAAAAATTTTTAATTGTTATTGCAAAATTAGTTGTTTATTCGCAAAAAAACCAATTTTCGCATTGTCGCAGAAAGTTTGCATAAAAGTGGTTTAAGAGGAAATGTTTTAAGGATTTTATAACCGTTTTCAAATTTAGTGGATCGCAATTGAGGCTCCGGATCTTAAAAGGGCACACGCGCGAGCACACGGCAAATAAGTTGGCCCCTGGAGATAAAATTTTGAAGTTGTTCAAAATAAATTTTAAATTATTGTTTCTTGTACAGAATTTCAAGGCGAAACTTTTTTTCTAATAAAAATTTTTTATATAATTTCTCGTTTTCACGTAAATTGGAAAAAATGTGATTTTTTGAATTAAGAAATTTTAATGAATTTTTGACTTCAATTTGTGACTACTTCGTTAAATATTAATATTTTTCCACGAAATTGACACACAATATTCTTCAAACTATTCCAAGAGTTAAACAATATCTGGAAATTTAAAAAAAAAATTGTATGTCAAGGTAAATAATTATTTAAATAATTTTGTCGGAAAAATGATTCTCCTATTTTCAATTGAAAAAGTTGAGTGACGAATTTTTGTTTTCGGAAAACTTTCAGCGACAAAAATGTTCATTAGTATGTTAGGAAGTTTTTTGGAAAATATCTCGCCATTTAATAATAAATTAAAGACGATAGAGCAATTTTAACATCTTCGCGCTCTGCTGTAAATGTAAACAATGTCTAACTATATATACATTGGTCTTGTAATGGCGGCCATGCTACACGTGCGCCGCCACGCCGCAATTTTACAGCAGAGCGCGACGATGTTAAAATTGCTCTATTGTCTTTAATTTATTATCAAATGGCGAGATATTTTCCAAAAAACATCCTAACATATTAATGAACATTTTTGTCGCTGAAAGTTTTCCGAAAACGAAAATTCGTCACTCAACTTTTTCAATTGAAAATAGGAGAATCATTTTTCCGACAAAATTATTTAAATAATTATTTACTTTTACATACAATTTTTTTTTAAATTTCCAAATATTGTTTCACTCTTGGAATAGTTTGAAGAATATTGTGTGTAAATTTCGTGGAAAAATATTAATATTTAAACGAAGTAGTCACGAGTTGAAGTCAAAAATTCATTAAAATTTCTTAACTTAAAAAATCACGTTTTTTTCAATTTACGTGAAAACGAGAAATTATATAAAAATTTTTTATTAGAAACAAAGTTTCGCCTTGAAATTCTGTATAAGAAACAATAATTTAAAATTCATTTTGAACAACTTCAAAATTTTATCTCCAGGGGCCAAATTATTTGCCGTGTGTTCGCGCGTGTGCCCTTTTAAGATCCGGAGCCTCAATTAGCAAAAAAGTTATAGCGTTTTTTCTATCGCACCGCACGTCTACAGCGCTAGCGCGCGGAACGTCTCACAGTCAGTGGGGCAAAAACACGCTATTGGACAAACTGATTTTAAGACCACAATTTTTAACCGATTGACAAAATTTTTTTTTTAAATTAAAGCTAATAAAATTTTGCATAAAACGTATGTTTTTTATTTAAAAAAAAAAATTTCTGTTAATTGTTTATTAAATGTTAAATAAAAAAATGAAAAATTTTTTCACTTTAAACAAATATTGTTGCTTATGAAAGCCTACACGGAGAAACTTTTTCTTCTAATATTAAATATATTTGGTTATCTTTATTCTAAAAGTACGTTAGAATGTGAGGATTTTTCGTGCGTTGTGCTAATAATTTCAACATTAATACGAAAATATGATAACTTCGTTATATATTAAGCAACCTTCGGTGTACAAAAATTACTATCTGCATTAGAAATAGTCTTATTTTTCTTTAGAAAAGAATAAAATGCTAGTTTTTGTTTGAGAAATAATACGTTAATTCTAACCTTTTTTCCACATATAGATAGAATATATAAGAGACATTCTAACGTAACATACCAATTTTGGAAGGACTGCGGGCGGACTTAATCGATTTTGCCCGAGCATCACCGAGTCCATCACCTGACGTCGCGAACTAACCCTAATGTTTTCGAAGTTGAAATTCACACGTGTATGAAAGAAAAAAAACCTTTTATTAATAAACGTGAATGTCTCCTCATGCCAAATTAAATTCAAGAACTGTTCCTCAATATAACATAATTTTTTTCACGACTTTTACTTATTTACATAATTTGATTAGAAAGTTATTTAAAAAAATGCTGTTTCTCGAAGGTACATATTTTTCCACTCGTTTAATATATAAGGACGATTCAGCTGTGTACTTCTAACGAATCGTGCGATCTTTCGGTTTCCGTGACCAATCGTCGTGTCTTTACTTGCGTATGCGTGTGTGCGTTATTAATATAGGTTAGGTTCTTACGTCGTGTTAAATATATTTACCTACAGTTACAGTGACACACACTAATGCCATCTACCATCAGATCCAAGTATCACTATCGTCTCTATGAATATCTATAGAGTAGACAATTAATTTGTTGTGTTTCTTTTTAATTCATGGCTTTCCCAACTTTGCAAAAATTA